AAAATTAATAAAAAGCAGTGTGTGCCTGCGCAGGACAGGGAGGTTCGTTTTCTTGGTCTCAACGTTCGCTCACTTAGGCTCCGTCCGCGTTTGAATAAGCATAGCTGTATCCGAGTGTTAATTAAATAAATCTTGTGCATTTGAATCTGTACTTCATTTATCAAGCGCCCAGTTCAACAAACGTGTGTAACATATTTGGAATTTCAACGTTAGAGGTGACATAGTAATAACTCAGAATTCGTTAATAGTAGTATATTTATATTTATATTGTCACGTGCTCCCGCGAGATGGATAATCCGCGCGAGCACGGATCAAAACGATAAGGTGGAAATCACGTAAGATTTCGGGAGGGAGGATGACAGCCCTCCAAGTTGTGTCCCTCCGGCGACCGACGAGTAGCGACGCGAAAATTTGACTGGGCGCCAGACGTGCGCGACGGCACGTCACTCGCGAGACGCAAAGTTACGGCAATAGCGCGAAAAGCGAAATGCAATTGCTCACAACGATACCCGAAATTCACAGACGAAGGCTCCTCCCCAAGGTCGATCGCGCGAGGGCCGGACGGCTCTACCTAACGGCAGAGGGGCAGGGCGGAACTAAGGGCGAATTAGGCGACGGACGATAGGATGGCGTGGGGCAGGCGAAAGAATTTGTACTTCAAATTAGAGAATAGTAATAATACCGTTTAATAACTGCGTAGCAAGGCGGTAAGAAACAGCGGAAAATATCATACAGTTCGGTGATAACAAAAAAGGATTAACAGAAAAGAAAAGACTGGATTGACGTTATTAAGCGCAGGTAATCATACGGCGCGATATGTTCCGGCGTGACAAAAAGGAAAAGAATCAGTTCGGCCGGTCGATAAAAACGCAATGGAAATCAGAAACGGCGCGAGAGTACAATGAAAAACGGGGCTCGGTACGACGCGAATACCGAGGTCTAACGACAACAATCATAACCGATAATCTCAATCATGAGTTTGCGCGACGGACACGCATACGGAGACGAAAGACAAAGAGAAAATTACTTACGCCGATACGCGACGTAATCACACGCGCTACTACAATACAATATAACGAAGATTCTC